TGCTGGATCAGCCTAAAACCACGACAAAATTTCAGTACAATTTTATTTTGTAAAAGGATATTCTTTAAAATCTGTTGCAGCAAGATAAGAATGTTGAGTTTTAATATTTTAAATAAACATGATTTTTCAATTTTAAAATTAGTTTTCCAACTGTACAAATAGAAATCTAAGAAGAAAAAGTTTTGCATATTTCCATTTTTTAAATAATATTTTTAATAGTATATTATCATGTAAAACAACCGTTCTTACTGATACCTAATTTTAACTTTACTTAAATAATGTTAAATAAAACAACATCACCCAAACACAATTAGATAGTTCTTTAATAAATTACATTTGGGATCCATTTTATATTTGAAGCTTGCATTTTTACTGTAGATATATTTTCACATTTTCTCTTTAATGCAATGACAAATGAGACTAAAGCTTAAATTCTCATCCAAACTTGTATGTGCAGGAGGTTCAAGAAAAACTCATCAAAATAATACAGCTATTGCCAAAAAAACCCACAAGAATTTTCAGTGTAAGTCATTAAAAAGCTCAAAATCACACACACACACACACACACACACAGAGAAGTCAAAACGGAAACTTCTGCAGCATATAAAACTGTTAGAAACAAAAGCTCATACTATCATTAGCTGCTCTCATCTTGCACAGGTCCAAACAAAATCAGTGACAAAAATCAGACTTACCTTCTGAATTGTTATGATTCCCTCTTGGGTGTCTTTGTCAACAGAAATTTTGAATACTCCCAAACCATCACCGTCCACAATCTTATACTCCATTTCAGCATTAGGTCCCACATCTGCATCTGCAGCTTTTATTCTGGCCACCACAGAAGCCACTGGCAAAGACTCTGGGACATTATATTGATAAGATCCTGTGAAATTTAAAAATTTAATTAATTTCGTAGGATAAAAAAAAATTTAACCTTCTTAAAATGTACTTTCCTTTAAATCATGCACTTCAATATTTACTCAGGCTACCAGAATGTATTGAGTTTAAAACAGAATTGCCTTTTTTTGCTACCTTTTCCTTCTGATGGACTCTGCTTTAAGTACTACGGACATAATTTCTTCCTACGACGAGAGAAGTATAAGGCAAAGATGCAAAAATATAATTCAAAAATATAATTCAAAATTCAAGTGCAAATTATGAGGTGAACACCTGCTACAGAAAATATTTTACTCTGTTTTCCACATAGGAGGAAAAAAAGAGTCAAATAATATCAATATAAACTTTTATTCTTCTACAGCTATGTGTCTTGATTAGGCAGTTTGTAATCTGAATATGACTAGAAACTGATATATATTAATTTCTTTAACAGTAAGTACACCATCTGTATTCTTGAAAATTTCAGCTTTTTCGTTCAAGAAGAAAATGATATATATACTGTCAAAAGGGTATCTGATTGCAGTCTGTAGCCAATAACACTCTCACCTTCAACAATATCTTCAGTTATTCTATTATTCCAAGCCATTGGTGGCTTGAAAAAATAGGAGATCTATTATGTACAGATCTATTTTTTATATCATTGGAGGTGAGGCTGGAGTGGACACGAATATATTCTTCACATTATTTTACTTCTACTTAGCAAGGACTTTTTTTAAAAATTTTTTTAAGAAAAAAGTACACCAGACAATGTTATTAATAAACTGAGCTCTCCAGGTTTGAGTGTACAACTGTGTACTCCTTTCTTTAGTTAGGATGAGAGCCACTTAGGTCAAAATAAGCAAATGGAAGAAAGATGACTTTCCAGCTCTTATAACTCCTGAGGAAACACTGTACGCTCAAGAGAAATCCTGCTAAAGTGCCGAAGGAATATGAAGGATTAAGATTCAAGGTAAAGAACTATGCACCCTGAAGTCTGACAGACAAGAGCTAAATATCTATTAAGGTGTTATCTTTTTTTGTCTTTTTATTCATAGAGAGGAAGTAAAATACATTAATAAATGCACCTGCTGTATAACACTTCATTTCAACTGATCTGAAACATATTAGGCAACGAAAAAAGATTCTTCTAAAGTAATAATATTAATATTATTATTAATTATAATAATATATATTGCTGTCAGTGATTCTCAAAGTACTTAACATGGAAGCTGAGCGCTTTCACTCTTTGTTTAGAAATAGCATGACGTGTAAAGAAAATAACAATGTTTAGAAATAATATTACAAGTCAGATTTTGACAAAGTAACCTACGTCGTGGAAAGCGAGGTGGGTTGTCGTTAACATCAGTCAGGGTGACAGTTACAGATGTAGTCCCTGATAATCCACCATTCTGCCCAACCATGTCCTTCGCTTGAATAACTAGTAGGTATTGGTCCTTGGCTTCTCTATCCATATTTGGAAGGGCAGTCTTGATAACACCTGCAGTAAGACAAGATGTGTCAATGGTTGCTCAAGCAAATACAGTACCATGAAAGCTGAGTTTACCTTTGAAAAGTAGTAGCAGATAAATGATTGCAACAAGAGAGGAATGATTTAATTTCAACACTAATATCACAGTTTTTGACTAGGAGCTGAACTGACATCCTACAAGTTTATTTTAAGTAGTCACCAAAACCCACCAAGTTTTATTTAGTACTAGATTCTCTGGGTGGTGCTATGTATGACTGTGTTTTCCTTTGATCTTCTCCCTGAACTATAGACTTCATAGTGTCTTAAGTAAAACTCCCTTCCCTGGAAGATGTCATCTTCTGTGTTTAATTTCCCACTGGTTTAGAGCTAGGAAGAATAGAATATTCTGCATTCATTGTTAAGATTTCAAGGTCAAGATTTGTTTCACAATCTCTTGAACACATTACTCTTGTAATGTCACTCACCACATTAACTCTTACTAATATTGATATCACGCCACACTCTGCATATATATGAAATCACCTTATTTTGCCATATATTTGCTTTAACAATACTCACTTCTAAAACATTAGTATAATTAAGAGATTTTTGATTTATTAATGTAAATACTGTAATATCTGAAGTAGTTTTTGTTACATTCATTTGATGATCTGCATACAATTTTTAATTAATTGATTTGAAATGAAAACCAGAAGAAAGTTCCATGTTTCATTATTTCAGTTCTGTTGATACAGATCAGGAAATAAATATGCCTTCTCAAAACGTGATGACTTTATGAATATTTCATGCTCAGCACACAGTACAGCAGCTAACTGATTTCCAGAGAGGCAGCCGTTTACTCCACCAGCACTTAGTGTCAGCAGCAAAGGAAACATAAACAAACTAAATAAAGGAGAGGCACATTGGGACACATATCTCTTCATCTGGTATTTGTTGAATGTTTAGTTAGAGTTTTATTTCTTTCTTCCCTTAAGAATGCAGGACTTGCCATTAATCATCTCTGGGTTGAAACATTTATTTCACAAACAGTCTGTCTGGCACTATTTCATCCATTTTACAAGACATGTTAAAATACAATATACAATTTCATAATGTTATTGTTTCTACATTGCTTTTTCTGGCCTGCTTGTTTTTCTATCATAGTTAAATTGCCAGGCAATGTTAACCAATCATGTGGAAGCTAATTAGCATGTACACATGAAATTTGAGAATCACATCAAAGTGCAAATGTATGCAAACATTTCAGTCTGAAACTTTAAAGATTTTAATTTAGTAGAAACTGCTATATTATCGTTCAAGGGCAGCCTGCAGTCGTTATGACAATATACATTGTACATACATATACATGGAGAGAGAGAAAGAGAGAAAATAATTATAGGTTATACTCGTTG